AAAGAAAGAAAGAAAGAAAAGAAAGGTGATAGAATTTTATTCTTTTCTCTGTTTAGAGAAAGGCACCCTACTGGAAATAAACCCTTAAATGGGGGGATTTTAATTGCAAATTGGAATATCACACATCAGCCAGTCAACACGTATTGCCTACAAAAGCCATGGATATTAATACTACTTACTGGTTTCTTACTATATGCCTGTCTTCATTGCTAAGTAATCCACATACCTACCATTTAGTCTTCAAAACTACCCTACCCATTTTCCAGATAAGGAACTTGCCCAAGGTAAAACTGCTGATAAGTGGCAAAACTTGGGCTTTAAACCCAGCTGTGTCAGACCCCAGAGCCTGAGCTCTTACCTACCAAACAATAATGATTTCTCCATGAGGTCCCAGGTCCCATTTACATAAGGGTGGGGATTCAACAAAAGGATCAATGATCACTCCCTGTCCTCAAGGAGGCTTATGTACTGTTGAGATGCTGAGGTACACAGGAATGGAAAACTAGTTAATCGTATCTTGCAGCAGTATAGGAGAGGGGTAACTCAAGAGGATTCATGGCGGGACAGAGTGCCGGGGCTGAGCAGGGAAGAGCGAGCAGGGATGGGATGAGTGCAGAAAAGGCGTTGGTCCCAAGGATGATTGAACAGACACTGGCCTCCTGGGTTTATAACATCAAAGAGCGTAATTTTCTCGGTTGAACAGAGTGGGTCCCCATTTAGAAATTCTCAGGCCTTCAGCAGACCATTTGACTTTTCTATACCTCGGTTTCCTCATCTGTGATATGGGGATAATAAAGGGGCTCTTGGGGCAAGGAGACACTTTCCCCTCCACCCACCAGGGTAAGTTCCACTTTCCATCAGACTCGGTGTGTCTCCTTTCCTTGACTTTGCCATTAAAGCTCTTAGAAAGAGCCCTACCTGCTGGGAGAAGCCCTTCACAACGCGCCTTTGTTTGAGGTTTGTCTCTCCATCCAAGTTGGCGGTTTCCAGGTGGCATATCCCGCTGGGGTCCGAGGAGAAGAGGAGCAAGATGTCTGCTGGGATGATCTCGTTGCACTGCACCTGGATGAAGTCTCCCACACGCACGTCCTTCCAGGGCTTCCTCACGTAGTTATGCACTTTTCTTGGGTGGGAGAAAGACAAGGTCTGAGTCAGCTTTAAGTTTCCCTCAGAGAATTAACAGGGGAATAGAGAGGGATACCAGCTGCACCTTAATATTATCCAAGTTACCCTGTCACGAGACTGCCCTATATTCTATCTTGACCCCTAAGACACCCTTGTGATCTGTCTAGAACATCTGGGTGTGATGTCTAGGATCCTGTTAATAAAACATCTGTCCTCATGATCATTTAGAATTCTGATTGATGGCCAAGCCTTGACCATGTCCTGCATTCAGCCCTTGCTTTTTATTTTTTCGTTGCAGTTTGGCCAGGACTCGGTTTGAACCCCACACCCTTGGTATATGAGGCCTGCGCCCTACTCACTGAGCCACAGGCGCCACTCAGCAGGAGAAACGGCTTAAAGCAGCAGGAAACTAAGCGGTCGTATCAAGATGGTACTCTTCATATATGTTATTTACCAGATTAGCCAGTGGTCACCAAAGAAAGCAGGGTTTCGAGGAACTGGGATATAGGAAGGATTGTTTTTGATTGTGGGGAGAAGAGGGGCTACAGGAAAGGTAAGGATATTGGCCCTTGTCTAGGAAGATCCAGAGTGGAGCTAAAACAGAAAGCCCTGGGCAGTCAGGGAATTAGGAAGGAAGCACCAGGAATGCTGATGGAACGGGATTCACAGTAACTGCACAATTAGAGGGCCGAAGAAATCGGAGGAAATTAAGCATTTTATTTTCCCATCCAATTTATCAAGCTGAGATAATAACAGTGACAGCCACAATTGCAAATTTAGTGTTTCTTACCTGCCAAGCAGTAGTTTTAATTAACATTTCATTTACTTGCATAAAATAACTCACCAGAGTGGATATTATCGTATCTTTTTCATAAATGAAGAGATTGAGAGTCACAATCAGTTTCCCACATCTCACAAAAACAGAGCTGGGCCGTGAGCCAGGTCCAGCTTGACCCGGAGCCCACGGTTTTCACCGCTCAGGTGCACCCGCCCTCAGCTGCAGCTGGCCTCAGCCCTCCACTTCCAGCATTTTCAAGGAGCTCTCATTTCAGAAAACCTTCCTTCTCCCTAGCCAAATGTTTAAATGGTTCTACTCTCCTACCTAAGATGGTCTATTCCATCTTCTGCCATTCCTTAAGTCTTTTAAGGTGTTCATCAAGTGTCCCATGAAGACCTTGGGACAAAGTTAAGCCAAATTTAACTTTCCAGTTGCCCTCCTTTATTTCGAGTGTGACACAGTTTTCAGGTCTGTCCTGGCTATGTGGGCGCTTCTGAGCCTGTGTTTGGGAATGTTCCCCTTTAAATGTGGGATTCTGAACCAAACCAGGACTCCACATGTGGCCTTTTCAACTGAGCCCAGCTGGCTTGAAGCCTGCAGCCTCTGGATGCAGCCAGGCCTGGGGGGCAGGCTTTCCTCTGTATGTCTCCCACTGATGCTGAGCCCCTCTGGACATGTCATTGATTCTGTTTCTGTTGGAATCTGAGCTGCCTTGGGCATGACAAGTCCACTCTTCACGGAGAGAGACGTGAGTAGAATTTGACTTTTCTGCTTTGACTTTGCAGAGTCCTTGAGGAGAATGAGGAGTTTGGTTTCTTCTTCTCTTTTTCTGGAGAGCCCCAGACAAGTCTTCCTAAGGTCCCATCTTCCTGGTCATAGTGTTCCTCTAAGAGGACCCCATGCCAGCCTGCTGAAATAAAGGTGCTTCCATTTGGGAGGCCAAGGTAAGATCTGATCAGAGTCTATAAAAGGAACAGGGACATTAGAACCCGGGAGCAGCCTGGTGACATGGAGGAAGCAGAGTTCTGTGGCAGTGCCCCGCAGCTCTCGGAGCTCAGCATGGCGGCGGCAGCTAACTCAGCCCACGGGCAATCTTAGCCATATGGCTACTGAGACCACTTCTAAGAATTGGGGAAAAATGCATCCGTAGCATTTTAGTAATAATTTATTCTTCCTTATATGCAAAAGCACACAGTAGGGCTCCACGCCCCTTTCCCTCCATCAGTTCATTCTGTGCTTCTGCTCTGGCCAATAACTTTAGTTTTATATGAAGCATAGGAGCAGTCACCTCAGGTTCATTTCCCAGTGGCATTTTGGAAATACATTTGTTAATTTAAAAATCTGTTTTCTTTTTTTTTAACGGGTATATTAGGGTGGATTCTCCTCCACCAAGAATACCATTGTAACTTTCAAACACTTTATAGTCTCTGAGACTCAGTGGACAATATATTTTCTTTTCCTTCAAAGCAGCCCTGGGAGCACCACTTAGCTATCTGCATATAAGGCCCTCAAAGGCACTGGAATGGTCCATTCTCTCTATGAGAATAGGAATCTCTTAGACTGCAGGGACTGTTTTCTATTTTTTTTTTCTTTTTGAAAGAGTACTTTAGAAAAAGGCATTATTAAATATGACAGGAAAGTTCCTTCAAGGAGCAAAGAATTATCACTCATCTTGTCTGCAATCTCCCTTCTCCTCCTTTGGCTTTTGTGTTCCACGGGATCACAATTTTGGGAACATAGGATATCAGTTGACTGCGATAATCTCAGCATTTTATCTGATATTTAAGGTGGATTTAGGGAGAGAACACCTTTGTGCAATATCCTCATTGCCAACACTTCCAGAGTGCACTGGTTCTGAAGATTTGGGCAGGTGTTAGTGATCTGGTATCTGCATACACAGACACATCAAAGGCAAGGCCAAGGGACCTCCGCCACTGAACACAGACTCTCATTCTTCCCCTTCCTAACAAAATACTCTTCTATTCATTATGGGATGTGGGTTATGAAGGTGTGGAAGACGGAGAGCTAGGGAAATGAGCTTATGGTATATGTATTTTTTACAAATAGTCACTTCTGTGGGCTGGGGTTCGGGATAAAACAGTGACACCTCGGGGACATTTCCTTCTGGTACTGTGTCACATAGTCCTGGTGTCCTGATTCTTTGGGGTGTACTTGTCTCCTCAACTGTCAAGAGCATGTCTGTGGAAAAGCCAGGGATGCACAGCCCCAGGGTGTCCAGCCAGGGGAGGCGATGACTGGCTGAGTCCTGCTGAAGTGAAACAGCAGCGTGCTCCTGCATTCAGCGACACCCAGACATGACCAGCAGCTGGCCTGGAGCCGCCCCAGGGAGTCATCCCTCCATTAATTCAGCCTGCGTGGAACAGCTGCCCCAGGTGGACGCATCCATGCACTCTGGATCATTGGATCATCCCCATGCTCAGTGAGTCCACACCTGGGAACCGACTGCTATTTTAGTGTCATGCGATGTTCACTGCTGTTTAAAAATAAGGCAAATCAACATGGCTTGGGATGGAGGCTCCATCTGGCAGATTCTGCCTGGAGGAGAAATTAAGTGGTGCAGTGCTAAACGGCTTTCTGAGAGGAGATAGGGCTTATTAAGAGGTAAATAAACAGCAAGAGAGGTTGGTAGCTGACTGGATGCCACTGGGGAGCAGGTGAAAGAGGGGGAATGGAGGAGGAGAGGATGCTTAAGGCTCCTTTATTCAAGTATCTGGGTTTTGTGTGAAGGATTTCAGGGCCCTGGAGTAGAGGGGATTTGTCAGGAGGATTAGCTGTCTGTGGCGCTTCCTATCTCAAACAGGATGAGGAGCTACCCCGTGCTGTCCTTCACGAGGCCGAAATGCCAGGCCCACAGTGCCTGGTGTCCTGCTCTGGGGCACGTGGCGGGAGAGGAATGCCTCAGAGAGTGGGAGCAGTGTAGGAATTAAGAGTAGGTTTGAATCCCAGATTTCCTGCTTATGACCTGTGTGCCCCGGGAGAAACCATGTAACCTCTCGGAACCTCTGTTTCTTCATCTGTTGGTTGAAAGCAGTAAGTGCACTTGCCTCAGAGGGTTGTTGGAAGGATTGGTGTTATGACACCTGTAAGGAACTGAGCTCAGGATTTTGCCCTCAGTAAGCACTCAATAAATGCAAGCTTTTATGATGATTACCACAATGATGACAATGGCTGCTACTGCTGTGCATGTAGTAAGAGCAGCTGCCACTCTGCGGGCCCTTCATCCTTTGTTACTTTATACTCGTGATTCCTGGCCTCAGCCCCGCCATGCAGTGCCCTGCAAACACAAGAAACTCTAAAATCCATGTCATTCCCCTAGAAGCCCAGAAAGAGGGACCCAAGCTCCCCAGATTATAAACTCTGCTTACTGGGACAAATTCCCAGAAATGTGAGTCCTTTAAATCCAGGCTGGTGGGGATTTGATAGCTCTCTAGTTCAGTCCCCACTAATTAAATGAGGAAACTAGGCTGGGAGAAGGGGAGTAACTTGGCCAGGACTCATAGTAGCAGAGCTCAGGCTGAAGCCTTTCCCTTCTCAGGGCTCCCGGGAGGAGAACTTGTGGCCAGGTGCTGATTCAGGAATACTTGCCATGGCCCTTGTACGGGCAGTGGTATGTTGAGGTAGAGGCTGTGCAGTGGAGTGGTTAAGAGGTCTGGAGTCAAGTGAACTGCCTTTGAAACCCAGAACTACCCTGTACATATAATGTGACCTTGAACCTGCTGCTGAACTTTCTAGCCCTCAGTTTATTCATCTACTATTTGGGATATACTCACAGATTATAGTGAGAGTTATGATAGTGCATGAAAAGTGCCTGATAACCTTGCAGAAATGGCATTTCTTGCTATTATTATTATCATAGTTATTATTGGCTTGGAGTAGTCAGTGGGCTGGAGATTCCTAAGGTTGTCTGTTTTCACCAGTGTACATGAGGTGTGGGTTGTTTTGACTGGAGGAGGAACCTGGGACGAAGGAGTCAGAGAGAGAGAGAGGCTGGTGAGGCCCTGACCTGGCCCCAGGAAATGGAGCAGCCGCTGAAGGAGTTACATTAAAGCCTGGGCTTGGGGCAGAGGGTGACTGGGTTCTCCCCAACTCACTCTTCTTTGCTCCCTGCCACTGCCTCTCTGTTGCAGAGCACCATGCAGGGGTGGGAGGTGTGTAGGCTCGGAGGGCCCAGGAAAGCACCAGGAGGGAGAGCTGAGACC